ATCCTGTATTTTGTCTCACTCTCCTCTCTTACTTTCACTGACATTGTCCACCTTGCTTTCATACCATATTTTTCTGTTAATTCACTCTCTTGTCCTATGTCCCAAAACTATAGCTTTGTTGGCATCCAATGACTGATCACATTTGAAGGCACTCTATACAAATCTCACCTCTAATATGATCATGCGATATCAGGATTGTTTTCAAGTAACTTTGTACAGATGATCCTATTGGCAGCCAAATCCAATATGTGATACTACTAAGGACCTTCTCTTATTCCTTTAAATCTAACTCATCTTTCTTTGCCCTTTACTTACACTCTCCTCTCTCTTTCACTTTCCTGCCAGGGTTTCTAAGCAATGATCCTGGAACTTCTGCCCTTATTTCCATAATAATTTGTACCCCTTGAAAATAAAATTTTCACTCCTCATATGACTTGAACCAGGTCTTTTTCATTTTGTTTAGTGTCATTTACGTATCAATATTTTTAAAGTGTAAAATTCTTGTGTTTGTATCATTTTTAAAAAATAAAGAGATATATACGAATTCTAAGCCCTCTTACTTAAGGCCTGAATGTGGTTCATTAGCTTATTGTTTAACAAATGCCCACTCCTTCCTCTACTTTGAGCTTTCCAATGTGACTTATTTTGACCAAATGGCTATGAATGAATTTAACACAGTAGAGCCTTCAATTATGATGGGTCATATGGGCTTGAGCCTTGTGCTTTGGCCATAGTGATACAAAAAATATACCCACAATTACCACTGTCCCAGAAATGGAACCTAGAATGAAGCATGAATCAGAGATACTCTAGCCACTCTGATATTTTATAGCCTGAAGCAGTTGGCCTTAGCCAAAGGGCAAACAGGTATAGGAGAAATAAATACTCATTGTCATATGCCTCTGAATTCTTTTGTCTTTGTTCTTTTTAGATATACATGATAGTACTATTATGCCACTGATTTCTTGATTATCACACACCAAAACTCATTGTTACACACATGGGATAACAGTCAGCTGTAGACTGAGCTTCACCATTAACTAGTTGAGCTAGAATAACTATCTATAATGTGAGAGGTTTAAAATAATTGAGCCTCCAGTTACTTAATGAGATTTAAAATGAGTGATTCTCAAGTATATCACTTTACACAGTGTATTTTCAGAAGATGGGTAAGAAAATGAATGAAATGAATACTAGAGAGAACTGGAGAAAAAATTTAGCACCTCTATGATTAAATTTATTTTCAGCTGAAAGAATGAGATTTGCTTGGATAGTGTTCAATATTCTGCCATGTGTACTGAAAGGAAGAAGTATGTTGGGAATGAATCAACATGTTTGTGGACTGCAGAGCACCAGGAGGGGAACTTGTACCATGTGACTACATCAACCTTCAGGGAGCCAGACATACAGGTCACAATTAGGCTCTACTCACTGAACTCCCTAAGAAAAGAATATTTTCAATATCTGGTATAGAACAATATTCAACACATAACGAGGAAGAATAAAAAGGTAGAGTGAAAAATAGAAACCAGAAGAGTTCTGAAATGGGAAAATGTTTTTTTTTTTCTCTCTCCCTCCCATCTTGCTGCTTCTCTTTGTGATGAGTTTAACTTTCACACAGCAGACTTGTGCTTTGTACGAGAGGCTAGACTGTTCCACACGCAAGGTCCCACCCAACCCTAAACTATCATGATCTTACATAAGATTGAGCTTATTTGAGGCATTCATACATAAGAACCTCAGTGACCCCTTCATTAATGGCAGGTTTCTGAAATCCCTTAATTTACCTTCCTAAAAAAACCCAGAAATCTTTAAATATCTTTTGTATCTTTAATAGACACTTACATAAAAATTCCCTTTGGCCCTGGAAATTTCCTTTAGTTATTCAATTGCCCTTTGCACATATGCCAAGGAACCATTTCCATAAGAACCATTTATATCTAAAATCAAATTTGCTAATCAGCAAAATTAGTACATTTACTTATAATAAAATTATTTTTGAGCTAAACTTTCATATATAAGCTTAAATTTGTCATTCAGGTAATATTTTTTAAGAAGGAAATGTTCTTATGCAACATGACTAAAATGCCCTGGGGAACTCTGAAACCATTTTTTCATTAAATAGAGCTGAAATTATGTGAACAAGTAGAACATGAGAAAGAAAAGAGGAAAACAAAGTATAGAACACTGGGGAATGAGAAAATAGAAAATAGACTGTGCAAGGAACAGTGATTTGTTCAAGGTTACCCAGTGAGTCAGGAAAAAAGGGAAGAGTGGGGACTATGCCAAGAACCTAAGCATATCCACAGTAATGGCTGTGTGTGAAATCTGCCATTCTCGAGAGATGGTGTATTCATGATTATTCTATGTGGAGGAAGGCATTTATATTTAAAATTCTCCCAGGGTTTAGCATGTATTACTTTCTAAGTACTTTTAATAAAAAAAATAAATAAATACCCAGCTGTTCTCAGCCAAAAGTGAACAAAGTATGATGTCATACACAAAATTTGATTTGATTTCATAACAACCTCTGAGGTAGGCCTCCTGATGTCTGCCTTATAGATTAATACGTGTTCAGAAAGACGAAAGGGTGTGCTTACAACTCTCATAGTTTTCCCCATACCCATACCAAGCTGCTCAGCACACCTCTCCAAAGACCTAACTCAAGGAAACACAAAGTAGAAGAGTGTGAAAAAAGTGCAGGTTTTTAAATAAATAAATAAATAAAAATAAAAAGCTCTGAGAAGAATCAAAGTTGATATTTAGGAGAGTGGGAACAGTTTGAATAATTTGTTACATGTTGCTGATTTCACTAGCTACCTAGTTGGCATACCAATTGAGCACATCTGCACAAGATCCTTAGATCTTAGATTGATAATAAACGGTTTCTACATGGGGGCATCTGACAGTTAAACCACAAGAATCCAAATAAAGATTTGAAATAGTATAGATACACTACAGGGAAGTGTTTCTCCTTGCAAAATCAAGCCTCTGTGCTCCAAGTCTACTTCTATAAAGCACAGCTTACCTGCTTTGTTGATGGCTATCATAAAGACATTAGTTTGGAATAGAAATTCCTTAATATATACATATATGGGCCCCTGTGACAAGGGTATTGAAGCCTCTGTGACAAGATGTCTCCCCAAATCTACTACACTGGCTCTCAGGCTGAAAGTAAAAACAGATATGAAGGAGAAACATAAGTAGCCACATGATAGGTGTTAATGAAATCTGTAAATTCTGTAGCCAAACTACCTGCATTCACTCCTGGCTCTATCTCCTACTGTGAGCCTTTGAGCAAGTTATTTAACCTCTTTTTGACTTGATTTCACATTGTGAAATAGAGAAATTAATAGTATATATTTATAGAATTATTACAATGACCAAACGAGTTAATGTTTATTAAGTCCTTAAAACAATATTAGGCATTAAGTAAACTCAATATGTGTTTGATGAATAAATAAAGCTAGGAAGAGTGGCAGATAGAATAAGGGACACCAGTTTCCTTTAATTAGTTGCTTTATTTCTTTCTGCAGAGCCCTTAACTTTTCATCACTGAGGCCAGTCGATTACTACCAGTGTGCTTAACCCCATTTCTGTTCTGGCCCAAACTACTCTTGTTCAGAAAGATTTAAGAAGCTCTAGCTGGGTAACTCAGGTGATTCAGCATTAAGTCCGCTTGCTGTTATTCCTGTCCTGACCCTATGTCCCAGTTTTAGTCACTTGTTCCTGTAATCAAGTTCCAAACTCGTACTCTAATTCTAGCATTCTGTTCCCCTGTGGCTGAGTCCTGGCTGGCAGAACCTGCTCAGGGCCTCCAGTTTTTATGAGGTAAACAACTCCCCAAAGGAAGTTTATGGACTAGACACATTTTGTTTGGCATACACTGTTTGAACTTTTGAAAAGTGGTTGCCTGTATTTAAAAATTGCAAACATTTATATAAAAATTTAAATGTATAGCTTCTCTTGAAAAATGGGATGATCTGGCAGCACTGGGTCCCAAGTGGCAGCTGTCCCCTTTAGAGGGTCATGTGATTTTTATTCCCTATAGATCCTACTCCTCCTTGATTTGTGTCTATGATTTGCTTGGTGCCTGAAGGTATCTGAAGTTGGGCTTTAAGTCTGGGAATAGCTGATACTTACCAAGCACTTACTTTGTGCCAGTTACTATTCTAAGTACTTCACATTCTTGACTCACTTAGTCAAAGGCCACAAATCTATACTTGTCCATTATCCCCGTGGCTCTCCTTCCCTACTTCACCCCTACTGTCTGTGGGGGATATGTGACTGTCCCATCTTTCCTGATCACTATCCTTCACCCACCAGCCAGAGCCTACACACAAAGCCTTGCTAGACCTTCCCTACACTGTAGCCCACTGCCATATCCGATCTCTCTTCCCAACCAGATTCCACCCTAAAGACCTTTGGCCATCATAGTGCTTGTGTTACAGATTCTCAGGCTTCATGATATGCCTGATTCTACTATCCCAAGTTCCATGCTTCTGTGAAAGCATAGATTTTATTAACTTAGATTAACTATCTTCACAGAACTTCTCCAATTCTTGTTAGAAGCCCAACAAAATCCATCAAATATTACTGATCACTTATATTCTAGGCTCTGTCATATAATTGATTTGGAGTATTATTTTAGTTAGAAATTCAAAGAAGTTTGTCTATGTCTGTCATGTACAATTCAATCTCTTTACAGAGAACTACCTATCAAAGTAACTATTTAAACAGAATTGAATTGTCTGTATTTTTTTTTTTTATTTCTCATCATGTGCCCTTGTGCTAACCATGAATTTGAAGGGTAAAATATTTGCATGACAAAGCCAACATTTAACAAATATCAAAAGAAAATTCATGAAACAAAATTCGATACATCATTCCATAAGATTACCTGGATTGGATGATAACACTGATACTGTTTTAAGCTTAAATTCAGCTAATTAAGTTATACCATAGTTTTTAAAGAGAGTCTTAATAAAAATGTTACTTACATAAGGAATCGTGTCCAAAGTATCTGTGTTGACAATTATAGGAGCAGGGCTGGCCTAAAAAAGAGAAGTAGAAAAAATTTTAAATAACAGATATTCTATTCTGAGGCAGATTCTGTTAACTTATTTGACAAAAACTCAAGAAGTATTTCATGTGGACCTATACAGACACATGCCTGCTGGTGGGGAATAAATAAAATCCTTCACATTTCCATAACTGTCCCAATCTCAAATGCTTATTTGCTATATTACCACATAATTAAATAAAGTAAACATTCCTATAATTTATATTCACTTCCTCTTAAATTCTATATAACACGGGAGATGGAAATTTGCACTGTGTGAGGTAAAGATTTTTAATACATTGGATAAAAGTTAAAATTTGAAACATCTATTTATAAAATGATTTTGCTGAAGAAATTTGATTACTTTCATGGAAGCAAAAATTAAACTTAAATGAATATTTATAACTATTCTTTTTAAAATGCCTTATGAAATTTTGTTGTATCCTATGCAGTAAGCATTCACTTATTGACATCATACATATACAAAATATATATAAATATATGTTTGTCTATTATGTGTGTTGTAGCATTTTTTCCAATTATGTATCTCTGATCATATAAACTGGAAATCCTTAAGAAATTAGTTAGAGATGGCAGAAAATCATTTTGGATATGCTAAACTTTAAAAAAAAATTGCACAATTTGCTGTAATTCCTTTTAATGTTGAGTGGGAATGTCTATAAAACTGATAGAGGAGTGCTACAAGCCAAGTCATTAGAAAATAAGAGATTGCAATCTTTATTTGCATCACTAATCTGACTTCATGAATATTGAGCAGATCTATCTTTATTTTCTAGTTTCTAGAATTTTCACAGCAACTTTCCCTCTATTCCCCAAAGGATCTTTAATCTCCATTCCAAATTACAGATTTCATTTAGATAGAGGAAATACTCTCATCATGATTAATCGAGAGCTGTCCTATGTGATACAGTGTTTTGGCAAGTGCACAACTTTTGGGACATTTCATTAGCTATGCCCTCTGGAGTTAACAGCTTTTTAATGTCAATCTGTGCCTGTGGAATCCTAATCAAACAGTAGGGGAAAAAAGACAATCCAGCAGGTTTTACAAAACAAAATTCCATGTCTTAACCCCAAACACTGGGAATGGTGAAAATAAACTTGGCCTACATATCTACAGAATGGGTCAACCGGATCTCTGTTATATATTCATAATTATCAATGGGAAGTATCTTGTGGATAAACAGGGGTTTGGAGAAAGATTACACACAACACACACACACACACACACACACACACACACATACACACACACACACACGTGCATGCTGAGAGATACTTGGTGTAGGGAGAAGGATATGAGGTTTGGAGTCAGAAGACCTGGGATCAAGGGTGGTTCAGCTATTTCTCAATTGCATGATTTGAGAGCTCAGCAACTTCCTGGTGGTGTGATTCTGGGCCAAGTCCTCTAAGCCTCTCTGACTCATTTTCCTCCTCTGTAGAATGGAAATGATAGTAAACACCTTTCATAAAAGTTGAAGGTCAAAGAGGTGATATATTTGAATTTGCTTCAGAAGCTAAATTTCAAGATTAATGTTAGATAGTATTAATAGTAAGAGTTTCTAAAGATAGATTATCATAAAGATATTTGTTAGATGGTTCATGAGCCACTTATCTCAGAGATTTCAGTGCTATTTAGTGACTGAAGCTGCACTCAAAGGGCCTAATTAGATCATGTCAAAGGTAATAATAAATGTTGAAAATTAACATGTGTAAGGATATAGATAGATATATCTGCATTTAATCACCAGAAAACCGTATTGATGAGGCATTATTATCACTGTCCCTATGCTGTAGGTTAGGAAACTGAGGTTCAGGGGAAATGAGAACTGAAATTTTAATATTGGCCTTTCTGGTATCAAAATCCACTTTTGCTCCATATTAAGCTGCTCCATGATCTCAGCATCTTGTTGGCTGTATCATAAATGATATAAGATCCTTATGCTAGAGTATCATAGAAGACCCAAATCAAAGACTATCCTGAAGGCAACAGAGGCCTCAGGGTACTGCAGTTAGATTTTAAAAGCACTCTTATGAAGCCTTAGTATGTGTTTTTACAATTTTAAGTTTCTAGCTGTGATGGTCTCTCTATTTTCTACTTGGTTCCTGTGACTCATGGAAGTAATTGTGTCTTATATCTTTGATTAAATTGAAAACTTTCCAAATTGCTACATATTTCCCCCTATTACCTCACATAACTTTGATCAATAAATATGTATTAATTTGATTTGGGGATTTTAGCCTATCTTTTGTTTTTCTTCTTACAGATTATATTAATGTACTAAAGTAATAAATTTCAGACTTAAAATTTATGTCCATATTGTATTTCATATGCAATGCCTTTAAAAATGTTGCTATATTTATGCTATTTGCCATTTCCTTTATGTAAATTGGTTCTTTCCACTAAGACTATATGTTTAAAAATGGACAAGGATCATATACTTCCCCAGAATTCTCCATAGTACTTATATACACAGAAAAATTTTAATAAGTACTTAGGAATTGCTGACTAAATATAGCTATAAAGTATAGATGAGGGTACAAAGAAAGGTAGCATATATTTGCAAATTTTGTAGAACATGTCTGAAATAACCCAAGAATCTCTTATATTACCAAGACTCTACTTTTCCAATATCCAATACTTATTTTTACTTTATTTCACCACCATTACTTAACAAAAATCAGCTTTTATAAAACAATAATTTCATAACTGAAGGATGTAGACTCCATGAATCTTGAAGCATAAGATCTAGGTTATATGAAAACTATTTGCCCCTTCTCACTTTTAAAAATATCCAGAAGTCACAATTAATACTTGCACTTCTAAAAGTCAATACAAATGCATGAACCAGCAGGATGCATTGGTTGTATGAACATATACATACATCATACACACCTGACATAGGCAATCCCTGGTAGGAGTGCCAAAAAGACACAGTGGTGGGCTCTTATGAGAAATGGAAAAATGTGCTACACCACTGCAGAGCTATACCAACGTCTCTGGAAATTCTCCCTTTGGTGTGCTGCAGGACTCTCCCACACTTCCAGATTGATTCTATAGAAGTTCCTTAGAATATTTTAGGTACTCAGTAACACATCTATCAGCAGAAAATTAAGATCCAAAGTGGTAGCAATACAAAATATAGCAGAATTCCAAATGTGTACCGTGAGTGCATTTTTCTCACAATTGGTAATGTCAGATCTTCCCTTGGTTCAGCTTGGATTTTGTTTCTTTGTTCACTTCTGCAATTATAAGCAATCGTGCCTAGTTTGATCTAGTTTGGTTTCTGAGTCTTAAAACCCAATTTCCTGGTTACTTTGATGGTTCCTTCCAAGCTTTTTCTTAACACTAAATTCTCCTCTGGCACATATGCCCTCTTTCTTCATGGTGGATATCATCTTTAATTGAACCCTTAAATCAAACTAGTGATTCAGCAGATTTCAGCCTCCCTCTTCAAGGTGCTTGTTTCATTTCACTGGAAAGAGACTCATAACAAATCTAATGAAAACAAGATCTCCTTTTAATCAGAAACTTCAAGGCTTGTCTTTATGTAAATCTAGGCAGGCACTTTTGAAACTATAAAGGATTAAGAAAAGCAATCTTTCTTGGGTGACCCAGACAATAAGATGCAAGTGGTTTTCCTTTTATGTTACATTCTCTTCCATGTGAAGAAAGCCAGTTTACAGAAAGCAAGAAGAATAAAGCTAATCACAGAGAAGCCAAAAGCAAGTGTTGAGAATGCTGATGAAATTTAAATTATGAGATAAAGTTATTCATGAATTCCAGCTACCTTTCTGTCCTTGAATTTCATGGGATACTAAACATTCCTATATTACATCAGCAACTTGGTTTATGCTAGAAAAAGATAAACTTCTGTGGCTTGTCATCAAGATAATCCAATAAAATATGATATAATGAATGTACACTTTAGAAAGAATTCATTGATGCTGACCATTGATATGGCTGCTCCTTGGTATTTGCCAAGTCCCAGAACAGGGAAATGCCTCTAACATAAGTCAGCTTAGGTCACCAAGCTAAGAACAGTGAAGATGTCTCCTCAAGGAAGGTGTTGGTAGGGAAGTATAGCATCCGGGCAGCCAAGGGCCACTTTCTGGGAAGTTTATGCCTCGGAGTGCAGACTAACCAGTGGGCAGGTCAAGAGACAAATCCCTGGCCTGTGCCTAAACTTTATTGATAAGCAAAATAGAAAAGGAGAGAAACCCACTAGTTCATCAAGTAAACTAGATACAACAATCACTAGTGACTAGTAAGGTTTATAAGACTAGGAATTGTGCAGGGATTTCAGCTGACAAGCAAGTAGAAGGCAGGTGGTTTCAGTAGATAAAATGAAGTACGAGGAAAAAGATCAAGAATAACAGCTTTTGGAGCTGGTACCCTAACTTACCTTTTCATCCTTACAGTGTAAGACTCCTGAATGGGCAAGACTTTTTTCTAATTCTAGGGAGATAGGCCTTATAAATGACTTTTGTATTTGTCATGGCATGATGATTAGAAACGAAATGGAAGGCACCAAAAGTTTTAAAATGAGTCCTTTGCCTCTGTCTGCCTCTCTCTCTCCCTGCTCCCCTGCTCTTCCATTCTCTGTGTGTATGTGTGGGCAGGGGCGGGGGCGGGGGGCAGGAGAGTGCGACCCTCGCCCCCCAGCAAGCACTGGAGATCCTAGAACCTCAGGTAAGTCATCTGGTTTAGTGTAGCTACTACAAGACAGCACGCAAACACTTTCAGTTTCACAGTTCAAACATACATATGGTAGACAACAGGATGACCCCTCAGCAGACTATTTCCTGATTTTGGTCAAGGAAGTAGAATATTGAGAGTTATATACTCTATCAGGTCTGAAAAAGACCTAAATATTAAGCACTGAATTGGCTATGTCAGGGTAGAATCCAAGATAACTGTGTTTTGTTAGCTTTTATCACTAACCCTCCATCATGCTGATCTATTTTGGAAAC